CCCCTCACAACATGGCGGCCGCCCCCGACGCGGGCAGCCACCGCTTGCGGGTGGCGAGTGAGGCGGGCAGCGGCCCAGCGACCCTCCTCCGCCCCTGGCCCTTCCCCTGCACTCACCGCGGCGGCTGAAGGGACGGAGGCGAGGGGAGGAGCGGGGCGGCGGCCGGCCCACGGGTGCTTCCCCCCACCCCCGGCAAGGAGCTCCCGCCCCACAGACGGGCTCTCCTCCCCACGCGGGCATGGCCGAAAGCCTCCTTCTCCTTCACCAACACCGCCTTTCTCTCCCTACACCGGCATGGCGGAAGGCCTCCTTTCCTGACAGGGGCCGGGGGTCTTGCCTCGGCAGGGGAGGTTTTCCCCCGGCCCTCAGGAGCACCCGCCATTTTCCTCAACAGGAGGCATCAAGTACCTCCTGTCAGCTCCCTCCTAGGAGGCTGTCAGGGCGTTATTTTCCATTTTCCTCTGGCAACAGCAAAATACCTCTTTAAAAGTTCAAAAGCCCCGGTAAGTATAAAGCAAAATAAGTGGTGCTGGTGTCAAGGAGCATGTTGATGCAGAGTTTTGCCCTCCCGTACCAAAATTACAGCCATTAAAAATGCATGTAGCCCATAGAAGTCCCAGCTATGTTTCCACATTGCCAGCTTTTGCTTGGATAAGCAATGCCGGTATTTCTTGAAGCATGAATTGAACAGACAGAGGAGAGGTTTGGTAATCACAGTTTTATTTACTCTGTTTCAGATTAGACAGTGCTAATAGAGAAAGTACCGTGTTTCACTGCAGTCACCGTGCCCGGCTCTGGATACGGGCATAGGACATCAGGACAGCACCTATACATCCCTGGCAGAAGTCTACAGAAAAATTTTATGCAGAAAAGACATGGTAAGTCTGTTAATTTGTCATTTGTTTATCTAAGCAGTCACACAGTGACACTGATTATATTTTACACCCTTCTGTACATCATGAGAAACAAAAAAGTACACAGTACAGAAGATAAGTTCAGTTGTTGAAATCTTTCAGGTTGTCAATTTTTCTTTGTCCCCCACAGACTAACTATGGAGGTTGCCAAATACCGTAAAAATAAGTACTGTAAACCTTACATGAGCTTCCAGTTTTACAGGAGATTGTCAAAGCTGGGGGGGTAAGAGGTCAAGTCTGTTTGGGGTTTAATAGATAAACCAAACCATGAAACAAATGCACTAGGATTCACAGGAAACTTTCTGATTTCATGGGACATGTGACCAAGGCCTAGATAAACAACCTTTTTGACTGGCTTGCTGCTTAAAAAACTTGGGAATTTTCTAACTAAACCAAATTATTTAAAAAACTGTTGGCTATATAACCAGTTCAGCTATGATGATTACTAGACATAGAAAGGAGGTGGCCATTATGGTTTGAATGCGATCCTTTGCTGAATGTTGTCCTCAGACCTGGGTTGCCTTTTGGACTAACTTGAAAACATGGAGATAGTTAGGAAAAAGTATTACTTTTCTTTCTCTGTTAACTATAAAAACAGAAAACAGAAAGAGGAACTTCACAGCTTCAGATAGGTTGGGCTTTAAACCATTAAGAGAAGCAGCAAAGGGAAAAGTTAAGTCTTGGTTTAGGGTTTTGATTCTTCTTTGCATCAAAACCAAATCTTTGAAATTCTTGATAACTGTGTACACAATGTTTAAGAACAAAAGGCCTGACCCTCAGAAGGGCCTATATTCCTCAGAAGGCAACAGATGCTAATACCCATCAAGACGGCCTTTTTCCTTCGAAAAGGTCAGGAAACAGGACACAAAACACAAATTTGCATGCAGCACTGCATGACAATTACAGAAAGATAATTTCTAAATCTGCAAAAACTTCAGTATGTATTCAAGCTATACATACAAAGTGAAGAAGTTACCAATGTCAGCATGTCTTCAGACTGCAAATTATGTCTAATGGCTTACTGTAGGTGCACAGCAAACTCATCTTTTCTTGATAAATAAAGAAACTGCTGATCAGCAAGGTGAGGAGAGGTATCTAAATCAAGGTGAATGGCCAAACAAGTGCAGAGGTATTCTATGCAGATTTTATTTTCTTTGCTTTAATAGCAGCTTCAATCTCTTCCATGATTGGCACTGGTCCTGCATAATTATTAGTTTCAATAGCTTCTAATTTCTTCTGATAGTCAGTTGGCAAGCCATTCTGTTCTGCACCCATGCAGATAACCTAAAATCAAAAGGGGAAAAAAAGAACCTTCAATAATATTGTTAGGAAGGACAGACCCCTCCAAACATTTACTCATATAGGAAGAAGCACTTAAGTTAACATGAGAATTAAACCCAAATAATGCCATTTGTACTTAAAGATAGTCCAAGGCTTCTAGAAGACTACCGAAGACCTTGATAGCATAAACAGAATTACTCTGAAAAGGTTTGTAACTACCAAGGCATACTCTTAAGATTCTGAAATGCTAGCAATGTGCACAAGACTGCACAATTAAGCTGTTATTCAATTATTCCATTCTTTCTTCCAGGGAGGAAGAGAACTGCTTTTTATGCTTTTAGCCAGCCTTAGTATCACATCTCAGTGAGAAACTGCACATATTATTGAAGTTATCTTTAAAATTAAACCGTTCAAATTCAGAGCACAACAGCATGGTTGTAGTAGACAGCTTACAGAGTAACAGAAACAGATACTTAGCTTAGCAAAAAAGCACAGATTCCTTTGTTTCCTACTGCAGCTTCCTTCTACATAAAAAATAAACTTAAGTATTGGTGCAAGAGAAAGTAAGTGACAGGGGAAATGAGAAGGCTGTAGGAGCCAAGGCTTGAAAGAGACACCAACAAGTTCTGATAAAAAAATGCAGACTTAAAAAGCTGACACTATTGTATATACTCTTTCATGCAATCAACGGCCAAGAAATTCAAGGATGAGGTGTCTAGAAAGGATGAACTTTGCCACAAGAAGTACACAACAGTAGGTGGATGGAGATCACTGTGTACAGACGCACTGTACCAAATTTTTAGCTCTCCTGCCTGGTTAACTTAAACGAATAAAAGCTGGGGACAGGAGGGAAGCAGAGAACTAACAACTGACCCTGACAACAGGAGGAGGGAATGTTTAACTAGATAAAATTGCCAATATTGGACGTCTGCTCTTACAGTGTGCTAGCGAGAACTGACAGGCAGCAGCAGACTATGTATTAGCTGCTTGAAAAGCCCTAAAGATCTGTCTTGACGGGAAGCATGAAGACAGAGAGGAGGTTTGTGAAGTAGCAGAGCCTGCTTTCTAAGCAAGCTCTCTCTTCAGAAGTCTTGCAGCAGCTGGCCTGAGCTATGCTCCTGGAAGCTGCTTCATGGGAGCAAGTTCCTCGGTTAAGAGAAGGCTGCACACTTGGGATTTAACAAGCTCGAGCCTTGTTTCTTTGCTTTCAGTAGAAAAAAAGTCAGCGTGTCACAGTGATGCCTATCTGCAGTTGGTAATAACTGCACAATTCCAGACATGCAGTCATGCCACCTGAGGCTAGGCCTGCATCAGACCTCACAAGCTAAGCAGGTCAGGCCTGCTGCGTGACTGCATCATGGGTCTCTCCAGAGTCAGTGTGTTGCAGAACAGTGTTGTAACACCTCTGCCTCACCAGCCATGTTCCCCTCGCAGTGGGAACCCTGCAGCGCTCTGCAGTGTTGCTGGCAGTCCTGTGGTATGCTCATGATGCACCTGATAAAAGGAGGCAGGTGGACTCCTCTATTAAATGGCAGTAAGATATTTCATAAGACAACAGGGATAATCCGTGTCCTTGAGACTACAAGCCAGGTGGTGTATTCTCCCAACAGAAGCCTCCCTCTGTCCTTTTAATGGAGTACATTAATTTTTCAAACAGACAGTTGCTGCATACATGTAAATAACAACCTTCAGGAATCCTTGGGTCAATCATAACTAATTCACGAGTTAAAAAGAGGCTTCATGTAAGGCATAACTAAGCAAAAAAATAAAACTGATTTAGTAGGCCTTTAAGAGCTAGAAATCTTCTGTGAGTATCATTACACTATTACATTGCACAAGGATTATGTTACACCTTTACATTAGAGTTACTCATGTCTTCTGTTCACTGTAAATAAAGTACTTATTAAATAGGACAGAAGTACTTCATTATATATTTCTGTGCGTTCTCTCTAAAATTACAGTGCAACACCTACCTTTTTATATTGAGGAGAAGGAGGACCACAGACATAGTCCTTCATCTGGTAGCTTCGACAGGTCAGTACCTTTCCAGCTTCAGTGTGGACATTGACTTCTATTGGGACATAAATGCCATCTTCAACTCCCTCTTGCCTGTAAAGGAGCATACATTCCTTTCATGCCAAGTAACTGCTGCATCTTTGAAACAAACTGTGCAATTAAACATATGCATTTATTATAACAGAATTCAAGGCAGGACACTGGTCTGCACTGTTAACAGGCTTAAAGAAAAGCAAACAGAGCAAAACATATTCCAGTACTTTTTTTGCTAAGTTGTTTCATATCCAAAAATAGCTTTCTAAAGAAGCAGCAACATTTTATCGTATCAGCTCTGTAAGAAAGACGACTAGTGATTAACTTGCAAAGTTTGAGAGAGAATATTCCTTGTGAATTTATTACTGTGCAAATCTGGTAATCTACAAGAGAAACATAACCAAGATTACCAGAATTAACGAGCCAGGCACATATCGTTCATTACCTTCCGCTCAGATAATGAAACAATTGCAAAGCTTTATCTTGCCCATTGTGTTGTGTTTGAATAAGGGGAAATTCAAACAAATTTTTCGATGCACATTCCAATGAATAATCCCAGACACCCTTTAATTTGCGTAAGACGTGTACAGCGACAATGAGCTAGATCAGGGCAAAACCCATTTTGTTAATTTTTTTGTTAGCAAAATCATGCTGTCTTAGGAAAACAAAACCAAACTCAAAAATGAGACTACTTGTTGTCTTTAACCATTAGCATTCAGCCACTGATAAAAGTCTGAAGAAACAGTAAGAAGTAAATTAAAAGCTTAAGCAATACAAGACAGGCTTTATAGCACAATTAACTTCAGATACGCTTTAGATAAGAGTGGTAACATGGGTTCTAACACTGCTTATCAAAACATCATCTTGACAATTTATCTTTCTTGCAAAGACTACCATTTCAAGTTACTTCACATACATAACACAGGACATATAATGTGAGTAACTAGGTTAAGTGCAAGTAGAAACTGGCAGCCAACTGCAGATTCAAGGCCAACAGACTGTAAAATAAGTCACAAGGGTGTGAGAAAGCAAGAAAAGCATTACAGTTAAGTAACATCCATTGTTAGGATATATGAGGAAATGTCATGATGTAGTCTGTACCTTATAGATTTGTGAAGTACAGAAGACAAAAAAAAAATCTGACCATGAAACTGCATCAATTATACATTCCTTCCTCTGCTTCTAGATAACAAAGCACAGATTTCTTTATCCAGACTGGGAGGAAAGACAAGGAGGGGGGTGGGGCAAATAGTGAAATATTTTTTTTCTTGATACATGGCAATTCCAGGAAATAACTTGGTTGAGAACTTAAAAATGCATCTGCTTGCGCACAGCCAAAGAATCCCAAGAATTTCAGCAGAAACACAGGCAAGCTCACTTGAGTTGGTTAATAGCAATTCTTAGAAGAATGCCATCAACTGTCACTGTAAAACCCAAGAACACATCCTATTTCCCTCCATTTCCAGGTCACCTTCATGGCATCGATGAGGCAGCTGGGAAAAAGCAATCTTTAAAGCTAGTGTCCATCCTGCAGTTTTTGGTGATGTTATAGCACTCAAGTCTCTAGCGTCTTAGCCAGCATTAAAGTTTATCCCCAGAGAAACAGATGCCAGGGATCTCCAATTCTACAGTATGTAAACAACATTTCTAGAAGCCAAAATACAAAATACTGTCCCCGTTGTGGGGGGAGACACAGTGCTACTATCAAAGCAGATGCTGTCAGGCAGGATCTTTATACTTGTGAAGCTTACACTTTAGGAAAGCATGGTAAAGGTCAGCAGAAAGGGGTGCAGGAGGTAAATGCTTGTGTAAGCAATAAAGGGGCAACTCAGGAGATCATAAAGCAGGGATGTGGGAAGCTCTCCCAACCAGGACCATACCAGCTAGACGCCCTCCCGCATGGGACTAACACTCCCAATCAGGACATGAGAGTGCTGAGTCCCATTCCCATGATGGGCTAACAGAACTTGGGCAACAGCTTCTGGTACATTTCAGATTCACTGTACGCAAGTTGGCAAGTTAGACCTTCCAGGCTTCATGGGCAAGGTTATAAGGAGATGTCTACACAGCATGGTGCAGCCACAACCAAAACTGCAACAGTACCAGAGGCAGGAGAACTGTATTAATTTAACGCTTTCAATGGGTTTAATATGCCCTGCTTCCTTAGCCTCACTAGCTCAGATTTCTACTGGAATTAATTGACATGAATTGAATGAACGGCTCTGAACAAACAGTCTTTGTGTACCAGAAGCACCATGGTGTGCAGGCGCATCCCAAGAGCTGCAATAAGCACATGACACCAGCCAAAGTTTTGGAGATTAAGTTCTAAGTCCTCCCTTAGGCCCTGCTAGAAGTTATGCTACTCCTCAATATGTTTACCCAAGTGGGTCCTCCAGACTTCAGCCTGGGAAGGACTTGCTCAGGTTGCCTTAAACTTGTCTTAATTATCAAGCACAGGCAAACCATTCTGCACTGTGCACTGTAACGGTGCAGGCAGCCTCTCCCATTTAAAGGGAGAAATAAAACCACCCCAGCTCCCTGCTTGGATCTACCTCAAGTTCACAAAAATTTGAAGACATGCAAAGTAACCTCCTCAAAAAGTCCCTTTGCCTGAATTAAAGTTCTTGTTGTCTTCTGCAAAGTCTTGTCCTCATCCCTTCCTTTTCCAGTACAACTGGAGTCTACAGATGTATAGAGACAGAAATTGACGTCAGTCTCAAAGGAAACTCTCCCTAAAGCAATGGGAAAAGTGCCACAGGACAAATACAGAATTTACAGTCATTTAAGGGACAGGACTTAATGAGGACAGGGATTAAAAAAAAGGAGCCTCAACTCCAAATCAAGCTCCACACCCTGTTAAAATACCCCTAAGTTGCTTTAGCTTGAGAACAAAGCCATTTTAATCACAAATGTGTTAGAAGTCAATACACATATTGTGAAGTGAAATTCACATATTAAATTCCAAAGCATCTTCTTGGTTCCAACACCAAAGCTTCCACACAGCTCTTTACCAGAAATTAACTACGGCTTTTCAATTGCTCTCTAAAGTAATAGAAGACAGCAAAAGTTAAGTCACCTACTTATCCAGTGAACTTAAATTGCTAGTGTCCATTCTCCACACTATTCCCCATACTTCGTCTCCAGGGCTCTGAACAATGGTCGCTGTACCTCCATGCCAGACAGAACTTGTCCTGCCTTGATGATGGCCAAACTCCAGCTTAAAATCCTGCAAATGAAACCAATGCAAAGAATCAGTTTCCACTTAAGATAAGGGCTGTTGGCTGTTCTTGGTATGAAAGGGGCGGCTAAAGGGAGAGTCCACAAGTAGTGGAGTCACAGAAGGAGGGATCTGGTGGGATCTTATCCAGCTCCCCTCTTACGAGGGGCTGAAGTCAGTCTTTTCCACCTCTCCATGAGAAACAGGAGCCTCGGGATGAAAGGAAGAAAGGTCTGTCAGAGAGCACTGTTGGTAAAAGTCTTGGTCTGCAGGGACCTGGATCACCATCCAAACCTCTTAGTAGGCTGGCCTAAACATTAGCTAACAATTTCTGGCAGTGAGAATAAAGTGGAGGTAGCCCTTCTAGAGGAGCACAGGTACCCAATTCTGCAGTAAATACAGCAGTGCTGAAGAAATGTCAGCTTGACTGTTGTCCAAGGCAGTAGTGACAGGATTGTGGATGTGCTTCTCTTTGGACAATATGAAGGTCCCTCAGCTGAGGTGGGCCATGAAAGAGGGAACTGAGTACTGCCTTCTTCTCGTTCCTCAAAAGATGTGCCTACCTGGTGCCCATTCCTCTGCAGCTTTTGGTGCTGCTAAAAATTAAATGCTACCGTGCAGGATCCAGGAAAATGGCAGGGTAAAGAAACCTCCAAGATGGTGAGCTTTGGGTCTTGTCTTCATGCACTAATTGCCCAATTATAAAATATCATCCCATGTATTTTCCAGTGTTCTGTGCCACCTCATCACTCAACTGGAACATTCTGGGGTATTTTTAAGTCAAGATGTATGCCTCCTTGAGTGAGCTTATATAGGTTTTTGTAAGTCGAAACATTTTTTTAGAAATCAAATCTCTCTTTTTCTTATAAGTAATATCAACAATTACTTTCTAGCCAAAACAGAATAATGGGTTCTTGCATTTTTCCACAGTAATTTCCCATCTGACTCCAAACAGTTTCCTCTCCTACTTTTTAGCCAATTTATGGATCCTTCCCTAGCAGTAGAGAAGGGAAAGAAAAAAACACAAACTTTAGGAAAGACTACCTGCTTAACCACAACAACAAAATCTGGCAAAGGCAAAAAGGATTAAAAACAGCAACAAAAATAAAACCCAAACCTATACAACCCCACAGCTTTGCTTATTTCTCATGATCCCCCTCTTTAAGCCGTTAGATAGTTTTGATTTGAAATATATATACATATATTTCAGATTAATATTAATTTTCTGAGACCTGTTACCCTCTTGTCATATGTCCTAACAGACATGGGGAAAAAGTTGCAGAAGTTGAGCAGTTGAAGACTTACCCACAGAAGAACAGCACGGATCAGAACACTAATCAAATTTATTTTGTGTGTGTGTGTAAGTGATCATCAGCAGTCTGGCAAAGCCAAACGGTTTAATCCATCAATAGAGTCACCTTCCTTCCCCATTAAACTACTTTCACTAAGAAAAAAAAAAAGTTTGCTTAAGACACACCAGTGTGTGTCTTAAGTAAACCAGACAACCAGTTGACAAGCTGCTGCAAAACCACTTTGCAATGTCTGGATCACTGCGTGAGGAGGTCTCTGGCTGGACCCTGCAGATACTGAAGCCCCCAGTAATAGGCACAGAAATAAATGGTCTGGTCAAGTAGAAGCCTGAAGCCATAGCTGTGGACAAGTGTTTGCAGGGTAGCCCAAAAGAAATACTCCCATAGAGCCAAGTACCCTCACAGCAGCCTAGGAAAAAAAAACAAACAACACCAATTTTTATTTTATTCTTCCACTTACATTTCCTTGGACCTGACCTGCACTGAATACCTGCAAGGAGGTGTATAAAAACATCAGGTACCACCCAAAAAGGGCAACAGAGACCTTGTATCTTATAGGCTATTTCTATAGCACAGTTAGCTCCAGTCAGGGAAGAGAGAACAAACACACTTGACACTTTCTTGGGTCAAGAGCTTGGTCTTTGGCCCTTCTACGTGCCAGTGTAATGCTCTTTCTGTGCCTGTTACGCATCCCATTTCTCACAGCTTTTGACTGAGGATTAACAAAACAGAGGGAAGTCAATTTCATATTCCAGTTTAGCACCCAAAGTACTCTGTTTACAGGCTATTTATCTTTTTTTTTTTTTTTTTTCCTACTGTAGAGCAAGCAACAGCAGTCAGCTCCAACCTCTGCGTGCTCCCAAGCATGGGTGATTTTCCAGCGTGAAGCCAGGGAGCGCAGCTGCCCAGTGTCAGCAGGGAGCACAGCAACGGATCGAAGGCCACCTAGAAAAGCTACTGCCTGGCTTCCAGCTTAACCTGCAGCCTGGCAAGAGGTGTTTTCTGTGTACCCTGAAAACCCATCTGAAACCCAAACGGAGAGCTGAAGCACAGGGCTTGCTTTTAGCCAAAGGTAAGTGCGTGACACTACTGCTTTTCTCCTCACCTCCAAGGTATGATCATAGAATCGTAGAATTTCCCAGGCCGGAAGGGACCTCCAAAGGTCATCTAGTCCGACACCCCCCCAGTCAGCGGGGAAACCCCCACATAGACCAGGTTGCCCAGGGCCTCGTTGAGCCTCTCCTTGAATATCTTGAGGGAGGGGGCCTCAACCACCTCCCTGGGCACCCTGTTCCAGTGCTCCACCACCCTCACAGTGAAGAACCCTCTCCTAATCTCTAGTCTAAATCTGTTCCCCTCCAGCTTGAAGCCATATCCTGCCAGGTGCTGGGCTCTTGGCAGGTTTGACTTCTCAGCAGTACCTGTAAGTGCCTCACACTTTACAGGAGCGGCCATCAGTTGCCAGGCTGATTGTCCCAGGAGACACCAAGTTATCTGACTATAGGGAGTTTATTAATAACAGTTTTTTGGAACTTCATACGCTCCAACATAGATCGTTTCCTGCCAGTTATTACCCCAAGAGAACTTTCAGGTCATCCTTAAGTGCTATCAGTCAATGCTGTGCTCCTCCAAGGCTCCTCCCAGCTGTGCACATCTGTACATCAGCAGCTTAATGACCATGAGCTGGTACTTCCAAGCTGACGTTAAAGCCACGTGGACAGGCTACCATTTAATAACCCTGGACAGGGGGGAACTGCTGGGGCTGGGGAGGTGCCACGGGGTGACAGCTCGCACCCCTCCCGACAGGCAGCACGGGGAGGGCTCCTCACTGGTAACCAGCCTGGCAGAGAACAATGAGGAGTTACCACTTCTATTTATTTATTTTTTTCTTAAAATGAAGCATCATCCTTTTAAAACTGCCAGGAACTCGCCCCTGAAATGTCAGTCCCCCCCCCCCCCCCCCCCCCCCCATGGGACTAAGGCAAACCCTCAAACCCTTTTTTTTGGGGGGTGGGCAGCCCCGATCGCGTCACGCCATGACGTCAGGGATGACGAGATCCGCCCCCCCCCGCCTAAACCGCGCTACCGGCAGGGCCGGGCCCACGCGTGGCTCCACTATAGGGCCCCCGCTCCCCCCCCGCGGCAGCGCCACGCACCTGCAGGCGTGCCAGGGCGCAGAGCGACGCCGAGGGGTTGCGCAGCAGCAGGCGCTCCCGCAGCAGGTTGCTGCCGTAGGCGTAGTACAGGAACCAGCCGTCCCCGCACGGCTCCATCGGCCCCGCACCCGCTCCTTTAACGCCCCCCCCTCCCGCTGGCGGCGGCCGGGGCGGGGCTTCTCACCGGCTTCCGCACGCAGCGGCGGGGAACGCCTGCCCGCAAACGGCACGTCATCCAGTTCCAACCCCCTGCCATGGACAGGGACACCTCCCACCAGAGCGGGTTGCTCAAGGCCACATCCAGCCTGGCCTTGAACACCTCCAGGGATGGGGCAGCCACAGCTTCTCTGGGCGACCTGTGCCAGTGCCTCACCACCCTCATAGTAAATAGTACCGCTGGTCCCAGCTGGGAGGAGCAAAAGGCGAGAAGGTGCTGGGTGGTGGGCAGGCAGGACTGCAGACCCACGCACAGAGACAGTTCCTCTCTTTCCCTGACATAAGCGGTGCTGGAATGAGGTGGGAAGAGGCCTTATCACTAGCTGCACCTGAACGTAAGCCACTGAAGCAATATACACACATACATATGTATGCAATTACAGCCTTCCATGGCTGTTTTGCTGTAATATAACAATAGCTTAACAATTAATGGTGAGGAACCATTCATTAATGCTTTTACAGTAGCCCTCAGCCCACATCAGCTTCCTGAGCAGGGGCAGCTCGTGCAGGATTTGGGACAGGATCCCTGGCAGTGCAGTGCCTGGTCTGTGGGCACATCCTCTCCCAGGAATATCGAGAGGAAAGTAGGGAGCAGGAGAGCTGACCCATCTCCTTCCTTCAAGGGTGTGTGCACCACTCTATTTGAATGCCTGCTTTGGTTTTTCTAACACAGGTGTGAGCAAATTCATAGCACATGAAGTGATAAATGTGGTTTTGTTCCTTCACAACTAACAGTTTTCTATTTTTAGAGGTTGTTTTTTTTTCTTACGTAGGAATAAATATTTTAGGGCAGGAGGGAAACACCGTTTTCACTTCTTACATGGGTCATAGGATTATATAGCAAGAGTTCCTCAGTCTTCCTCCTTTGGACAGTGGGTAGCTGAAAATTACTTGTGGTATATATGCTTTTAGTCCCCTTTCCCTAAGCAAATGCAAAGTTCACAAGGAAAAGTGTATCTCTCTCCTCGACCAGCAGCTTCTGGACTGTTGGCTCATTTCAGCCAGAGGTGACAGAAAATAAGAGCTTTCAGACGTAATTTAAGTTTCTTCTACTTTCAAGAAAACAGGCGGAGGTAGCTGTGAGATGGTGGGGAACCCATGGGAGAGGCTTCCAGAGGACCCCTGGCTTTTGACTAAAGCTCACAGCTTCATGTACCCCAAAATCAGCCAGCCCCAGGGACCAAGCGTGCCAGAGAGCAGGTTTTCCAGGCGTTGGTGTGTGCTGAACTGCCTGTTTGGGTTTGCTGTGACGTGTCCCTTGTGAGCTGAACTTGGTGTTTCTTTCTGAACAGAAAAAATCTTATGTAGGAATTGGAATGAAGCATACAGCAATTGTTACTTTTTCAATCTCAAAATGACCTTCTTCCAAAAAAAAAAAAAATCCCCAACCAGCCTTTTGTAACACCTTTTACATTATTGAAACTTTGGACATTCTGCACAAGAATTGCCATTTTTTTCTCAACACCCAGAATTTCAACAACTGTTTTGATGATTTTTCATTCAAAAAGTATGTATATTTTTTAACAAGGGAAAATCCCTTAAGCTCGTGTCCTTTTCAAAGTCAGATGGTTGACAAACGAGGAGACTGACTCCCTGATCTCAGCTGGGTTTGTGCACATGAAAGCCTTCCTTAGCAAAATTGTGGTTAAACTTACGGGACAAGAATTAATTTAAAACACTGGCACTTGCAATTTCAAGTATTTAATCACTCAAAAAGGCATTTTCAAATTAAAACGTGTTGAGCTTTCCATTTTTCATAGTCTGTACTAAATACCAAGCCTGTTCTATGACCAAGTAGCGGTAGCCAGTGTTTCCAGGAGTGTGGTTTTGGTGTGTGTGATGTAAGCTGGTTTGGCCTATTCTAGAGACAGCGTAATGCTAATTCAAAAGCTATTGAAGCAAAACTTAGATTTTTGGTGTTTAGATTAATTTTTAATTGAACTGAGTCAATCAATTTGCACTTCTGAAGCCCATTTCTTCCCCAGCACAGCCCATGGCAGTTTAGAAACAGCACATTGAGCCTCTCAACTGTTCATGAGGGTGATAGACACGAGAGTTGAATTGGGAGAGCCAGCACTGACAGTGTGGGTCTGCCTCACCTTAAGCTTTGGCATTAAACTGTCTGGAAAATATAAACCTCTATTCCCAACAGCTTTTATTAAAAGCCCTTTTTTATTAAAGCCTTAATTAAAGCTATAATTGATAGAGCGCCTAAATGTGCACTGCGTGCTCTGAGCCAGTGGGCCGTGAGATGGCCAATGTCCACTGCAGAGCACTGAGCAGCTCATAAAAATGAGGCCTCCTGAGTCTGCAGAGCATGCAGAGCGTACTTTAAAGAGGGAATGTTAACTCTGAATCCTGTTGTCAGAAAAACTAGGTTTTCATTGCTAATCCGAAACCACAACGGCCAGTGTTGGTGCTCGTTAGGAATCAGCCTCTGAATTGTCTGGAGCTTCTCACCTTAACACTGTGAGGTGGCACAGCTTAGATTGCTCTTTGTTTTCATACTCTCAGGCCTGAGGTGGAAGAAAAATGCGTCTGCCACGAGCCAGGAAAGGGACAGAAGCTGAGACGTGCTGCAGGTATGACCCGTAAAAAGATCCCAGATTGAGTCCCACTGGTGCCATTGGAAGCAGTTTGTCCAGTCTGACGGTGAGGCAAGCACTGAAGAAAAATCTGGTCTGAAGGGAAAGCTTTGCAAGCCTTTCCGCTGGTGTACGTCCAAAGTGTACTGAAGTGGCTGTATGTGCTTAGGAGATACTGTACACTATGGACAGACCTTGCTTTCAAACCAAATTTCCAGTTGAAAAAAGAATGTGGAGGGTGAGAGGACCTTTCCTGTTGCAATTTGAGTAGAAACCTGCAGGGCTTTGGTGGTATTACTAGATTTCACGCTTCTGCTAGTTCTCAACCTTTCAGGTGACAATTAACTTCCTGGAGAGGAAGGTGTTAAATGTTACCCTGGGTTTTTTTGAAAATAAATCAGTTCTGAAGTCACAGGCTGTCTCCAGAGCTGCTTGCTGACATGAGACCTGTGTTAGCCTCTTTGAAGCCCCAAACAATTTGGAGGCATTGTTTCCCCTTGGATGTAACTACAAAACCTGTGCAGAGTAAGCAGTCAGGAGTCCTCCTCTGTGGGAGCTTCCTGAACATGGGTGAAAGCTCTGCATGTACACAGCTGTTTGTGCATTGTCTGTGAGGGGGATCAACAGCATTATTTATGCAGAGAAAACAGGAATTTGTTTCCATCACTCTTTTATCCCTAGATACAGTATATTCTTGAGCCTATACTACTTAGGTTTTTAGCAAAACAATAAGGAAATGAGGCAAAAATAAGATGTAGTGGGATGAATTAAACCTGCTGAAATGTCTGCCAGTCACTCAGTGTGCCTCCCTATCACTCTCTCTCCGCCCCATGGTTGTCACAGCATGAGCTTTAATTAATACTGAAGGAAAAAAAGAGAACCTGGAGGAATAATAAGGGCAAGTGATGCAAATGAACCACGTGCGCAGTCCTCCCCACAGCTTTTCTCTCCTCCCTGAGGATGTGCTCTGCAATTAGTATTTCATTGAAATGATACTTTTTTTTTTTCTGCAAGAAGGTTACAGCTGGTGGTAGCTCCTTAATACAGTGTGTAAGATCTGCGGGTCTGCGGAGATTTCATGTTCATGCAAATGAATGCAAATGATTTTACAGCGTCTCATGGTGTTGCAGTGTTTGTTACTTCCCTACAAAACAGGGACCATGATGTCCTGCAGAAATCCAGCCTCCTGCCCTGCCCTGCCCCACAGAATAGCCACTGGCCCATGGGGCTCGTAACTCTGCTTGCCAGGAGGAATATAATCCATTGTTCACTTTGCAATTCTTATTTTTGCATGTTTCTGCAAATAGCATGTGCAAGAGAGATGAGCTGTTAAAGTGGCTGGATCTGTGCATGTAAATTCCTGTGGGTTTTTTTTTGGCTCTGGCCAATGCCAAAGCGATTATTGGGCCCTTCCTGAGGCAGTTCCAAGTTCTCCCTGGCTGCTGCCTCCTCCTGAGATGTCACTGCATGATGGGTGCTATTCAAAGTGGAGGAAATGGCAAAGTACAGCCATGTGAATCCCTCCCCCAGATCAGATATTAGAAAGAGGAGAGTGTGTATCTATGTCTTGCTTTTGCTTGTACCTCCTGGAGCCCAGGTCTGTACAGACAGACTGGCACAGGCTTCTTGTCATCTGAGCTCCTTCTAAATCTTGGAGGGGCAAAACATACGGGATCTATCTAAGGAAAAAAAAAAAAAAAAAGCTAAAAAAAAATGATGTGTGTGAAATCTGGACACATGAAGAATGGCAGAGCGTTTTTACAAACAGATGCTGGCACACGCAGCTGCCCTTAGTCACTTTGGCTTGTGAGGGTATCTGCTCTGCTCACAGACCTATAGGTACTTGTGAGTGTGACTTCAGAAATTCGTTTGAAAGTCTTGCCAAATGTTAAATCAGTTTTCAAAGGAAGAATACTGGGTTGTACAGAACAGGCTGTAGCTGGGACCCAGTTTTTTATCTTGTATTTGAGTGTACAGTGGGAACAGCTTGATGCTGAATTTCTGCTCATCTTTGTGTAAGTAAATTCAAAATCTGGCTTCTTTCCTATGACCTAGTGTTTTGCTTCTCTCACTGTAAAGCTCTTCTGAATGATAACAATTCTCTAGTGATACAAAGCAAATGGTTACGGGAGATTTTGTCAAAATAGTTTCCCTTGTTACTGAAATCTCTTAGTTTGCTGCGTCAAGAGAATTTTGTCAGTGTGATGTTTCTGTGGTCTGTTGTCTCAGGGTCCACTAGCATCTCCCACTGCAGAAGCGATTGCTCCTTTCAGAGGACCAGTTTGCATTGCCCTCCTCCTCTGGTGGGGACTTGTGTCTCAGCAAACACTAAGCAGGTTGTCTCTCCAGGCTGTCAAGCACTTGAGAGTTTTTTTTCCCCCGTGGATGTTATGACTGTTGAATGTAGACTGGCAGATGAAAGGGATATATCCTGCTGTCTTTAGGCAGCTCGCTGTTATGGTTTAATGTTAGTTGGGTTTCTTACCCTCTTTTTACCTTCTATAGGCTGGGAGCACTCTTGTTTTCTTCCTCCTTTTGTTCTCTTTCAGCACAGGAAAATTATGAAATAAATTCAGTTCTGAGTGCTATTTTCCAGTCCTGTATTAACCCTATGGCTTTACATTTGAACCATGCAGTGTACTTCACATGAAGTAGGTTGGTACTTCTTCTTTTCCACTGCCGTGTCTGTGACCATTTCTGTGCTGCTAATCTTCAGCTTTGATGTGGGAGGTGTTGGGATGGAGAAAGGCAGTAGCATTTCCCCGTTTGCACGCTCAGGGCTAGTGTTGTGGCAGAAGCATGTGACACGGATGCTAAAACAAGCCCTGGTTGTACAGCTCCTCCTAGTTCAGCACAGACCTTGCAAAACGTGGCACAAGTCCCCACTGAGAGATTCCTGGCAGAGATGTTTTAACAATTACTGATAAATTTAATTCAGTCCTTCCCCTGGGCTCGTTGCCTGTGTGGATGTTTTTGTTGTGGAATAAAACTGGCACTTTTTTCCCCCACTTGTTTTAAATTCATTTGAGCACGACATAAGCTACACCAGAAAAATCCCTGCTTGTCAGAAATAAGTGGTCGACCCCCAGCATTGCATTGGTGTGACAACAGCAGTTTGAGCCCACACTGTAGCTCACCATTGCTCTGCTTTTCTTTGTAAGCAGATCTCTGAACTGGTGGCAAGACCTGGTCTGGTTCATCTGCACAGGACTTGGTGGTGCTTAGGGAGTTGGGATTGTTTTCCTTGCTCCAGCCATATGATTGCAAACCAGAAAGGGAAGAGAGCAGCCAGAGAGCAAGCTCTGTATCTCTGGAGAAGATGGGGCAAGAATATTAATGCTGCTCTGCCACCTGCGGGCAGATCTCAAGGAGGAACAAGAAAAAATGAAGTCTTTGTCTCGCAAAGCTGTTTTTCTTTCCATCTTGCACTCCTATGTTGTTGTTTTCAAATGACCATATTCTTAGCACTTGCTCCCAGTGATGGAGCACTCTGTCCACCGCCTCTCTCCACTCATTTACCTCTTTATTCCACAGCCTCTGCCATTGCATCAGGGATGCAACCCTTGGAGTAGGACAGGAGAAAAAACTTGCCAGAGGGAAGGCTGCAGAAAAACTTGCAGTAGGAGTTTGTTTGTCAGAAGTAAGGGTACAGTTTCAGATCTCTAATGCAGCACTCATGCTCCAGACGTACAAAATCCACTCAGAGGCAAGATCTGAATTCTCTAAAAACAGGCTATCTCAGGTTCAGTGCTTTGTGTGTGCTTGTTGTTCTATTCATCTCTCAGACAGAGCCCCTCTGCACCAAAAATTCAGTTTGCCAGACAAGTCAGTGATGTGAGGAGCACCCCTGGCAGAAGTTCTGCGTCAGAGCACATCTATTATTCACAGGGATTGCAGAGTGCAGGGAGTTACAGAAGTCGTGTCCTGCTGAGGCACAGAATGTCTCAGAGATAGACAGAAGGAGAATAACAACATTTTCTTCCAAGGCCCATGTGGCCCTGAGCATCTCAAGGGATGTGAATTTGGTGGCTGATTGGAAACAGGCTTATTTTGTCTCTGCCCGGATAGGAAGTCCTGAATTTCATTTTTTTTAAGCAATCAGGAAAAAAATAATAATGTTTTCAGCAAGCTAGGACAGGTCCTTGTTCCTTCCTTCTCACTCACAGGAACATAATGATGTGGGTCGGGAAGCTTGTGCAGCACGTGTTGCAACGGCAGATTGTGAAGAAGCGCTACTTGCACGATGAGGGGTGTCAAAAAATAGTGGGTTACAGGAATAATTGGAGCCAGCAGTTGTCACTGATCTAGTTAATCAGGACTGCTTTATAAGAAGTGCCCCCCTGTCATTTCCAATTTCCAAGAAATAGTAATGAAAAAAATGAGTTTGTGGCCGGTGCGAGGGGGGTTGTGGCCACCAGGTGCCACTCTCGCTCCATGGGGAATACAGGGCGGCTGAAAGGCAGGGCATAATTTGCAGGAGAAGCCAAAACAGACACTTTTCATTTTGTCCATCTCAGGATTTTCCTACGGGCTATATCTGGGACAGCAGCCTTTCCTCACTCTCCAGTAAGGGGGATGCTGGAAAACCCCCGACAGTGGAAAACCGTCGGTACCACTCACCCCAGTCTAAGTTTCAGTTTTCCATCAGCATTGTTACGCAGGGAGGGAGGGAGGGAGATGGAAAGCTGCTGCTTGGGAAGGCTGTGGCACCTTTCCCCATCTCCTCGTTCTGCCATACATGGGAAAAGTTGGTTCTTCCTCCAGCCCATGTACCCTCTGGGAGGGATGAGCACCCTATGGTGTTATTTACCACTGAACAGAGATTTTCTAGTTGTAAGTTCTAAGTGTAATAGTTACCCCTGCAGTTTTGGCCACGGAATTCAAGCTTAAGGTTTCCACAATGTAGCCTCCCTGGTTTTCCTCATCTTCTGGGCACAGTTTTCTGTGTCTTGGGGAACAGGGTCCTGCTGTCATTTCCACTTTACTGAGCATTCCAA